TATAATGGGTCAAAGAAAAAATCATAGGGACAATTAAAAAATAATTTGAGATAAATAAAATGAAAATATACCATAAAGAAAGTTACAAGGTGCAGCTAATGGAGTGCTTAGAGGGAAATTTATAGCTGCAAATGCTTACACTGAATAAAAATAAAAGAGAAATATCTCAAATGAAAAAACCTAAACTTTTGTGTCAGGGAACTAGAAAAAGAAGAGCAATGTAAAGCCAAAGCAATCCGGAGTAAGGAAAGTATAAACAATAGAGAGGAATAAATGAATAGAGAATATAAAAGCAACAGAGAAAATCAACAAAATAAACACTTGGTTCTTTGAAAACATCCACAAAATTATCAAATCTTTACTAGACCAGCCAAGAAAAAGGAAGGAAGATGTGAGTTATTAACATCTGGAATAAAAAAAAAGGGAGGACTTCACAATGAACAATTTTATGTCAATAACTAAATGAAATGGACAAATTCCTAGGAAGACACAAACTATCAAAATTGACTCAAGAAGAAATAGAAAATTGGGATAGACTTATAACAAGTAAAAATTAAATTAGTAAGGAAAAACTCTTCCTACAAAGAAAAGACCTGGCCCTGATGCTGCACTGATGAATACTACCAATATTTTTTTTAAAGAATAAACATATTATTTTATAAATGTTTCCAAAAAATAGAAGAGGAGGGAACACTTCTCAACTCATTTTACAAGGACAGCATTACCCTCATATCAAAACCAGAAAAAGACACTGTAAGAAAAAAAGTACAGAGCAGTGTCCCCTATGAACATAGGCACAAAACATCTTCAACAAATATGAGGAAACTGAAACCAACAATGTAAAATGGATTATACAACATGACCAAGTAGAATTCATCCCTGAAATGCAAAATTGAATCAACATAAGAAATTTAAGGTGATACACCATTATTAATAGAATAAAGAATAAAACAGATGATCTTCTTAATAGACGTGGAGAGTATTTTACCAAATAGAATACCTTTCATGATAAAAATATTCCATAACTAGCAACAGAAGGGAACTTCGCCAACCTGATGAAAGTCATTCAAAACAAACAAACAAACCTCACAGCTAACAGGATTCTTAATGATGAATGACTACAAGAATAGGAACAAGACAAGGATGCTTACTCACATCACTTCTATTCAACATTGTGTTGGAAGTTCTAACCAGAGTAGTTAGGCAACAAAGATAAGTAAATGGAATCTAAATTGTAAAGGAAAAAGTAAAATTATCTCTATCCTCAGATAACATGATATTTTAAGTAGAAAATCCTAAAGTCTCTACAAAATCAAAAGACTATTAGAAATAAACGAGTTGAGATACAAGATCACTACACAATGTTGACACAATATTCTATACATTAGCAGTGAACAATCTAAAAGTGAAATTAAGAAAAGGATTGCACATAAAATAGCATGAAAAAGGATAAAATACTTAGCAATAAATTTAACAAAGAAGTACGGGACTTGTACAATGAAGGTACATTTTTGAAATAAGTTAAAGATTTAAATAGATATCCCTGTTCATAGATTAGAAGATGTAGTATTGTTAACATGGCAATACTCCCCAAATTGTAGATTAAATACAAACCCTGAAAACATCTCAGCTGCCTATTTTGCCAAACTTCACATAGTTAATTTTAAAATTGATACAGAAATGCCAGAGACTCAGAGTCACCAAAACAGTCTTGAAAAAGAAGGCAAAATAGAAGAACTCACAACTTTCCAATTTCAAGATTTAACTACAAAGCTATGGTAATCGAGACCATGTGACACTAGTAAAAGGACAAACTTATAGACCAATGGAATAAATAAAGAGTTTAGAAGTATACCCTTATATTTGTGGTCTGTTGTTTTTCAACAAGTGTCCCAAGACAATTCAATGGAGAAAAAATAATCTCAACAAATGATGCTAGGACAACTGTATATCCACATGCAAAATAATGAAGTTGGACCTGTGTCTCATATGTTGTTAAAAAAAAAAAAAATTACTTATATAAGACGTCATAAACCAAAATGTAAGAACTAAGACTATAAAACTCTTAATACAATATAAAATCTTCATGACCTTGGATTAGACAATGAAATCTTAAATATGACACAAAAGCATAAGTGAAAAAAAATAGATAACTTGGACTTCATAAAAATCAGAAACTTGTATGCTACAAATGATTCCATC